AATTTGATAACTGCAGTTAAAAGAAATTTAGAGAAAAGATATGCGAACCATGGGAACGGTATTAAAGCAGTAATGACTAAATCTCATTAAAGTTCTCAAGCTATAATATCAGGAAACTTACTCAATAGAATTAAACCAGGTCAGAAAGCTTACATCCTTACAAAGAGGCTTGAACTCATACCTAGATCAATCAGAGGATATTCCATGCTGCCATCTTCCCAAACATCCAGCACATGAAGCTGACGGATGCTAGAATCATAGTATGAAACTCCCACTCTGAGAAGAAAACTTGCTGAGCCATTTTAGCTTTTCACTAAGGGAACCTTACCATCAACTAAACCCTTTGTCACTTAGAACTTAACGACATAAATATTATGAAAATCAAATTTTAGGTTCTTTTTTTGTCCGTAAACGCCTAAGATGTCTATTTAGATATTTATTCAGCCATAGTAAGTATCAATATACATAATAACATACAAATAAAAATCAATCACTTACTGGCATACTACTATACTTCAAATAAGTGTAAATTCCTAGCATAAAGTTTTCTCTTGATGCTAACAAACTTCCGAACACATGGTAGGGACCTAGAAGAAATTTATAGTATGGTAAAGAAACCTCACCTCTGTCCATGTTTGACACATGCCATATATATCTGTCGTTCAAGTCAGGGGAATAAAAAGGGCAACAGAGTGAGAAAGGTGGTGAACTACTAAACCAGTGAAGAGCATTTCTCAATTTAAAACTGTCAGTAAATATGAAACGAGTCTATTATAACTTCAATATAATGGCAGACGGGCAAACTCTCCAATTTCATTCCACGTGATGCACCATCCGTTCTCTTCTATATAATTTTACCCGACCTAGATTTATGTCAGCTCGGATACTGATTCACTTAAAAATGAAACTCAAGGAATATATTAGAATTGGCAAAAATTATTTAAATTCAAGCCTTGCACTTCAAGATACGGCGTAGTTCAAAAGCAAAGTTTGACGCAATAAATAATTGTATCTGTCCACTGATTAGTTAAGTTATCCATTAATTAAATCAAATGACATTAATTCACCGTAAACAGAGATTATGAGGAAATCTGACTCCTTATCATCGCTATTCCATAGCCTTTCCTAGTTCAGAAGATAAATGTCACATGATTCGCTATGCTTCTCTTCAGTCTTTTTTCCGTTCAACACTGCTTTTATTTCCAGACTCATAACAACGAAATTAATAAATCTGATTCGATTGTTCAAAAGATCAACTGTTTCACGCTTCTATCTACTCCTCAATTTTCTTAGCATCCAAACCAAATTATTAACATGAACTGGAGAGATCAAATCCAAAGTTAGAATCAGTAGTCCAGTCCAGGATCCTTCAAATGAATTACATTCTCGCTCATTTTTCTGTTCTCATCCACTAACACTACAAACCAATCAAAGTTTCCTTTGCTTTCCTTTTCATCCATGTCTCACCAACTAGAGATGAATTGTAAGAAGGAGAAATGCAGAGAAGACTAAAATCGCACTCAACTTTTCTCGTTTCATCCAGTCACAATACAGAAGAAGAACCAAAAGAAGACTAAAGTCGCATTGGATTGATCTCGTATATACCAAAGGAAGATCGTGAACAAGATAAATGCAGAGAAGAGAACAAAAAAATGATCAACCTGAGGCACCGCTTCCGTTTCGTCCACTTCCTCCATTGTCCCGAATAAAGCGCGAAAAATCAAAATCAGTAGTCCCGCGAAATAGAATTTATAGCTCCTCTAATCCGGGTCGGGTCTAGAATTTCAACTTACGAACCCAACTGAATCGGATCAAGTTATTTAGATATTTACTGACCCAAACAAGCCTATAACTAACCTATCTCATTGTTTTCATGATTATTGTTACTTGTAAAGTTACATTTTAAACCCTAAGTTCAAAAATATGATTATGTACTATGATTTGCATTTTCTAATCCAATAAATGAGCTATTTATTGAGTATTTTTAGGTACTTAAACCACGTTTACTAATTTTTCAGGTAAGATAAAGCGCTCATTTACAGATGATGACATTTCAATACTCTACTCAGGCATCTACCCAGACAAATTCTCTAGTTTGGCAAAAATTTGAACTTGAAATTGATGTCGTGAGCTCACACAGGATAAGTTGGATTTCAAATGACAAAATCAAATTTTCATTAAAGATAACTGGGTGATACTCAGGTAAGTGATCTTAGGTAATTGAATGATGTATGGTGGTGCATGTCTCGTGGCCCCTACATGCACCATGTTGTTTATGTGTATGCGTGCTATGTAATGACATATGATGCTATGATATGTATGCATGCCATATCCATTACGCCATGTTATAAATAAAATAAATTACTATGTACGTCATATTATGTAGTGCCACGTAAAGTTATGTGATGGATCATATAATGATTGTCATGTATACATGACGCATATATGTATGATGTCATGGATGAAAGAAAAAAGGGAATGATGTTAATGTTAGGCTATGAATGAAAATCATGAGGACCTCATGCATCAGGATACTTCTCCATTATGTTATACTAGTACGGATGCATACCTTCAATATTTATGTTTGTCATGATATCATGTAGGCCTTTCCTTTTCTGTGGCGTATAGTGACGCGTTAATGCGTTGTGCCCGACCAAGTCAGGCCAAAGGTATGTGGACGAGCTTGTCTGGTGGGTCCATGTGTGCGTACGTGAACTGTGTATGGTATGTGTGTGATTGCATTACTAACTCCAACCGTGTGATGACTTACTGAGTATTTCTTAAAATACTTCAACCACGTGCTACCCTTATTTTTAGGTAAAGGTAAAGTTTCTTGCAATGCTATATGAGTTGTGTGTAAAAAAAAAAAAAAAAAGTATTACAAGGTGGGATACCAAGATTTGAACGTTGAAAGAATTACATGTCAATTATAACTAAATTATGTTTAACATGACGCTACAATTATTGTTATTCCTTCTTCGTGTCTGGCAACAACACCAAAGATGCTAGCTCGATCAGTACGAGGCCTAGGAGTGTGCGAACCGTATGGTGGGTCCATATTTACACATATGGGCTGTGTGTAAAATAGTAAATACACATTTGATGACCTGGACCGAAAAGCCGCCTAAGAGAATACGATTTTAAATGATAGGTCCCTTTCATGTTGTATGTGTTTGCATTCTCTAATCCCAATAGAGAGGTCACTTATTGAATATTTCTTAAACCACTTAAACCACTCAGCCGCGTGCTACTTCTATATTTCAGGTAAAGATAAAACACCCATGTACGATTGACGACGGCATTGTATTAAAGATCATGGAATCTACATAGGGTAGTTATATTTATTTTTGTAGAGGTTAGGTTAGTATAAGTCATTGCTCTTTTAATATTTTCCCTTATCCATGACATCGTTTTATGAAATTATTTTAAATGATTATTTCCGCGTAGAAAACATTACATCATGTACATGATAACGCCTCTAGTTCCCTTTCGAAATTAAGGTCGTTACAATACCATGACTCTAAATAATCATCCACCCAAAATTTATAACCATCTAAGAATGAATGAAGTTTAATTTTTTTTTTTAATATGACATGAATTATAACATCTCGTGATAATTTGAACAATATTTTCTTTCACATTTATATTACATTATTGATGTCTTGGTTCATATCACTTGTATTCGTCAAAGCTTTTAAGTTTAGAGGGAGTCTTCGGTCTTTAGAGATTTTTTTTTAAAAAAAAGTATCGAATACGTCAACTTAACAACGATCCATTCATAAAGGGAATGCCTCTTGAATTCAGACCAAATATAAAGGTCAAAGGAAGAGTCTTAATCATAAAACTTTCTACCAAACTCAAATAAATTGCATTTAATTGTTTTAAGTGCCTTGTTTGTTCGATAGAATGTACGAGGGGTCCGTACCCACATCTATAGCGGCTGGATTCGGTTGGTATGAATTGGTCGGTTGCAATGGTTTAGGGTGGAATGTGTGCGGTTGAGGAGACAACTAATTTGTGCAGGTCATTATGTATTTACTTAAGATAATCGATCATTATTATTGAGACAATGACTATGTTGGTCGTTTGGAGTCCATTAGTGATTGCAACTTTTTATTGTTAGTGACGTAAGACTCTCAAATTTACATAAACATCATTAGTGTCTCGAACATTCTTGTCCATAGTGCCTCAGGCTTGATGTTTCTTGAGATCCTGAGCTTCTAATTGAGGATTAGTTAGTAGTTAGTGACGTATGATACGAAATTCTCAATTTATTTTATTAAATTCTCGTTCATTTTTTTAATATAATATTTTAAAAAATATTCATTTTAATTTTTAATATATTTCAATAAAAAATGTAAAATATGGTAACAACCCATAAATATTACATAAACATTAAAAAGCAAAAATTTCAATATTGTAAATATACCTAATATAAATACACCATAAATGAGTTTTGTGTCTTAATTTTGATATGTATATAAATATATTTATATTTATTTATAAAAAGCTAAGCAAGGAAGAGCCAGTCGGGAATTTGGGTAGGGTTAGAGACGAGGAAGGAGAATATAATCCAAGCTCGGGGTCTATTTAGCTCACAGGAAGAAATCTCTCTCCACTCCCTCTTCTACTCTGTTTTAATCGAACGAGTTCCCGTAAATTATATGAATATCTCTAATTATGGCTACAATTTTAATTACAACAATTTCTGTTTAAGACGTAATTACTCAAATTAAAAGTAATTAGTCCATTGTAATCCTAACATGATTATTTTCGTATCTTTTTCCCGCTCGACAATAAAAATAAAAATAAAAAGTCAAACTAAATTAACAAAATAATAATAATAATAATAAAAATAAATTTATGAATCTAAATGGTCCTTAAATTTCATTGTTAGATTTCTATCCAAAATGTTAGAAAATTAAATTTTGGTCAAAAAAAAAAAAAAAAAATATATATATATATATATATAAAAGAGTAATTTGGAAGTGACATCCAGTGCATGTACAATACGAAAGAGGCTGGTTTTTGGTTTCATCCGCCATAGTTAAATCTGTTGTGTTTCATATTGATTTTGATTTTGATTTGGGACCGATGCCTTCATCTTCCTTCTACCACTATCTTTGATTTCCATTTTTGTGCTTTTGCTGCATCTGATTATGGAGGCGCCCTCCTTTGTTTCAAAAGCGAGGACTGCCTTTCATTCCGCGGCTGCTAAAGCGGAGCGAGTTTTCTTCGACTTTAAATCCGATCCATCAGGTACGCACAATCTCATCATCCATTCTCTAAATTTGCTCCCCTTTTTTTTGGATTCTTCAATTCATTTTACCTTTCCCCCCCTCTTCCTGATTCCTCTAAGATTTTGATAAACAACAACTGCCTAAGATCCACGAACGGACTTCCAAGAACGAAGATGAAATAAGGGTATGATTCTGTTTCTTCTCTGTTGACCTACTTATTTTCATTGACTTCTCTGCTATCTCATGTTCCTTCAAATTTCATGATTTAAGCTGCCTTGTCGCCATCAATTTTCCAGAATTCTGGCAATTGGCTTGTGTTTTCTGCTTCGATTTCTGTGGTAGATAGTAAAATAAACACGAAAATTCTTTGAGTGTTCTTCAATTTGAAAAGGGTCAACTTCTTGAGCTGAAGTGGATATCAGGTTGACCGCCTATTTTAGCTTTTGTTTCACCATTTCATACTTTTCTTGTAAAACAAGCAGAATGCATGTGGAAATGTCTAATTCAGCTATCTATGTTCATTCATAATCTGCATTTAGTCTAAACAAAAGATTTTCAGTGTTTATATATCCCCGGTAACAGACAATTTCTCAAGCGGATGTTGTAAAATAATTGCATTGTCTTAATGCAATGTGGAATGTTTCAGAGTCACAGTGAGCCAAAGCATTCGAAGTGGAGACCGCCGAACATCGGGACAAAGCAGGACTGGCACGATAAGTTCAAAAACATTCGAATTGGAAAGAAAGCTGCTGAGGATACTGAAAAAGTTGAAAATCCAACCATGTCTGTACCATTTTATGATGAGAATTTGTACCTACTGAACATGAAAAATGATATTGAAGCAAAGGTATTAAACATTCATAAATATATATAGTTTTTTGACGTATTTTGTCACAATCTGTATAATGTCTATTGTTCTAAGTTACCTAGCATGGTTCATAAGTGGATTCAACTTCCAAGTTCTACATACATTAGCAATTAGGAAAAGAGGAAGCCTTAATGTTCGAGCCATCCGATTTGGTAAACTAATGGAAAACTCCATAGAATTTGTATGCTCGTACGTGTTTTTGACCATTATAGTCTATACAAATAATGTCCTCCGAGGTGATGACTCTGGAGTTAATCATAATCTTTGTGATATAATTAAGATCTGTCTTGTTGATTGAGTTTTTCTCTTATACTAACTAGTCTCGTATTTATTTAGAATGCAGAAATAGTTCCATCAGTTGAAAGCTTTTTGGCTACTGACAGAGCTAGTATTCCTCCCCTTTCAGTTATAAAGCAGCTGGCTATCGCTGTTGAGTGAGTTTCTCTTCTTTCATGTTTTCGATATTTTGATTGCGTTCTTTTGTTTTTCTTCGATTTTCTGGTGGATCTTGTATTCACACTATTATTTTCGAGGATAAAGGACTTCCTGGATACTTGGTTCTTAAATGTTGACAGTCTTGGTCTCTGGTCATTTTGTCAATGTTTTCCTACAAACTATTTGACGAGCTTGCATTGAAACTTGTTACTGATACCTCAATATCCGTACTCTTGACCTAGGGCTGGAAAGAAATCCAAGTCGATAAAGAGTTTGGTTGCTTCGCCAGGAGATTCTTCATCTACAAGGGAGAAGTCGGGGTTGAGTCTGTCTTCTGTGAGGGCATTAATGCTTCGTGAAAAGGAGGAAAAGAGCTCAACTGAATTTCGTCATGATGAGAGAGTTCAATCTTTGATTTGTTCACTCTTCGATGCAGGTACATGCACATTCCAGGTTACGCACGATGTGATGTATTGATGTAATTTCTTGCATATTTTCCTGCAACGAGCTCACTTCCATTATAATCATCTGTAACGTATGCGCAGAGGGGGGAGATTTTCTCAGAAGGAACTTTGGCACTGCTTCAGAGGGCACAATAGTGACATCCTTGACTAGAGATATTCATGGTGCTCCTCCAGATAGCCTCCTTGTTAAGATTTCTGAAGTCATAGGAAGCTTCAGATGTCTTCGGAAAATGGCACTTTTTTGGTGCAGAATTGTCGATGAAGTGAGTTCACGATGTAGAACTTGATTGTGCTACCTAAGGAATGGTTACAAATGATGAAAATATTTGTTTTTTGTGCTTAAAGCTTATTATTCAAAATTTTATAGACACCTTTTTCGTTTTAGAGAAAGGACACTTAGTTCATGCTTACCAGATAGTTCAACCCTTTTTTATAACTGTAACTAATGAAGTTTGTTTGGAATGATTTTATTATGCAGATGAGAAGATTCTGGGCAGAAGAGCGATATCTACCTGGCATTCCAATAGATGAAATTCCAGATCTAAATTCATGTCTTCTATATCAGCGATTTCAGGTTATAAATTGTTGCGTCTCCCGCAAAAGACGCCATGAAATAGCAACTGACAAGTTAGATGCTGTACTACGGGAAGCAAGTTCAAATGCTGAATCAAGAACATCTGAAGTAACTGTTCCTGCAAACACTCTTTTGTATGCGAGACTCAGTAACGGGGAACTTGCACTTCGACTAGGTGCTGATTGCCCATTTGGTGACCATAAAATGTTAGAAACTGGTGAAGCAGTTTACTCTCCTGTTACACAGGTTCGGCTAATGGTATTGGATCTTTTCATCAGTGTTAAAGAATGCAAAGGCTTAATCCAACCTATTTTTTGTGGACAGGAAGGTCCTTTGCTAACCGAAGACGTCATTAAAGAAACAGAGGAGTTTGTTCTTCGAACCGGAAGGTATATTATTGCACTTGGTTTTATTCTTAACATTATATCATCCGGTATTTCTGCTTGACGATTACAAAATCTCCAATTTGCAGTGTGGGTGCTGGATGTTCTCAACTTCTCTCAGACATGCAAGCTTTCAAGGTCACTTTTTACTGTCAATATCTACTGTCCACCATATATCGATTAACGGAGTACTTAAGGTGATGTGTTCTAGTAGACTAACTTCGCTGTTACTATTAATCTAGGCTGCAAATCCTGGCTGTATCTTGGAAGATTTTGTAAGATGGCACTCCCCTCCTGATTGGACAGAACCTGAACCAAATAATGATAGTATAGATTCTCCTGTTGGTATCGATTCAAGAGGTCAACTTAGCAGTCGAATGCAAAAAGAAGGTGTAGACCTTTATCTGATGTTCACTATGTCTTAATTTGGACACTATGGTGCTGATATTTCTCATAAATTGGAATGTGAATATTGGACTTAATTTGAGGGAGTCTCCTGCTAGTTAATTTCTTTTACCGTAGCTGTCCTTCCTTTCCTCATTTCTACTGGACTCGGGCAAAAAAACTAGATTTCCGAACCTTTCTTTCCCACCCCATTCAATGGAGAGCTGTAACTGAAGCAAGCACTTGGCTTTAGAGCCCTAGCTTGCTTTGGCTATAGTTTTACGGATTAGGAACATTCATTGGGGGGATGAACGTAAGTGGGTACTGCGATTCCTCTGTATAATAGCCTTGTTCTTGGGATTTGGAAATTATGTCATAAACGCTGAGTTTTATGAGTTCTGTTCATACCAGGTAATTTGTGGCGTGAACTATGGGAAACATCGAAAGCTGTGCCTGCTGTTAAACAAACACCACTCTTTGATGAGGATTTGGTCGTGTAAGTTGGAGGAATTTAAAACCAGTTACTGTTTGTTTGTTCTGTACTTGAAACTGTGGCGCTAAACTGTAATACTGCAGGGAAGGTATTCTGAGTGATTTAGAGGAGTTGCCACCTTCTGAGCTGTTTGAGCCGCTGTTCATTTCTTTAGTAAGTTGATTATTACTACACAATTCTTCCTATTGTCTAATAACGTACTTAACTTACTGGGAAATGGGTTTGAGTTTATTATCTCTGTAGTCTTGAAAAGTAATAATTCTAGGCAGATTGGATCTCAAGAATGAGTTCATCAAGCTTTCCAGGGATCTTAGTTCCTGAAATTTTAAACTAATTGTTGAGTTCCTGTGCTATCCCACAATGGTTGGGGTGGAGAACGAAACACCTTTTATAAGGGTGTGGAAACAAACCTCTCTCTAGCAGACGCGTTTTAAAAACCTTGAGGGGAAGCCCGAAAAGGAAAGCTCAAAGACGACAATATCTGTTAGCAGTGGGTCTGAACTGCTACAAATGGTATCAGAGCCAGGTACCGGGCGATGTGTCAGCAAGGAGGCTGTTCCCCGAAGGGGGTAGATACGAAGCGGTGTGCCAGTAAAGACGCTGGGCCCCAAAGGGGGTGGATTTGGTGGGGGTCCCACATCGATTGGAGAAAGGAGAGAGTGCCAGCGAGGACACTGGGTCCTGAAGGGGGGTGGATTATGATATCCTACCTTGATTGGGGAGGAGAACGAAACACCTATAAGGGTATGGAAACCTCTCCCTAGCAGATGCGTTTTAAAAACCTTGAGGGGAACCTCGAAAGGGAAAGCCCAAAGAGGACAATATTTGCTAGCGGTGGGCCTAGGCCGTTACAATTCGAATAAATAAACTTTCTTCCAACTAATGGCTTCATATCTCTATAATTGCAATGAGAAAGATCCCTATGTCTTATGAAGATAATGAATCTTCAAAATATCACTTCGCTAACATAATCTTCTTTTCTATGTGCAGCTTGGTTTAGGATTCATAATGGCGGAGGCCAAGTTGGCTAAAAATAATAATCTGTCAAGCTTATTCTATGAGTGCAAGGGCTATGTTGTAGCAACATGTCAAAGAAGCTCTTGGAGCAACAAAGTTGATGATATTTGTCAGGTTCGCTCCCGCTTTTTGCTGCTTTCATGCATATCTTACGAACCACAAATCTTTTAAAAGCTTTGGGATCATTGTATGACATTTTCGTGTGCCTATGAATTAAGACGTGTGGTCGATTTCACATCCAACCAAGTCGTTTACCAGATAACAAAAGAGTTCCCACGACACGGAGTGGCCTTGCCCGTAGTGGGAACAAGGAAGCTAATAGAATTAATGGCATTTTCGAAACATTTGTTGCATATCTGTTTATTAGTATCGAATCACGATCGTGATTCAAGCTGATGTATATGACGGGATCCGGAACAGGTGTATGAAACAGTGGAGACTATGATGGTGAATCCAGAGGAAATTCTGAAGGCTATGAAGCAGCCAGAAGAATCAAACATGACAGCCGGTGAGCTGAAACGGCGTTTCAAGAAGATGAGTCTGAACTTCGTAGGGAAGGACGGAGATTCAAGAAAATCGTCTCCAAAAAATGTGAACTCGGACGAAAGGCCATCGTCACCGTCGTTCTCGTCGTTCTTCGACAGTAAATCATCTTTATTTGCAAAGAAGCCTCCTAAACCAGAAACTCCATCTGCTGCTACAACCGATGAAAATGGTTGGACATTTGTTTAAACAGACAGCTGAAACTCTTCTGCCAGACACTTAAAAGCTGAATTGTAAATTATATATTGAAACTGCATTTAAATAGTGATGGGTTGGTTCCTTTTGTAGTATACAGAAGCGATTTTTCTTCATTGGTTGCATGATTTGATTATTATTTCTTTTTGGATGTAAATATATAGCATGGGATGACATGGGATTTTGTTCATTTACTTCTAATTTTCTCATAAAATTAATCTTATTTGACTGAATAAAGAGACTGCTTATTTGATGAACACTACAACTCCCTTTCTTCTCTTTGTGCCATTTTTTGAAGATAATTTACATATTTTGTTTGTTTTATTCTGTGGGTGTACTGAGATTGCTCCATCTTTGTTTCTGAATTGTTATGATTTGTGTATTACATGAACTCATACGTTTCTCGCAAAGTGATATTAGAGCGAAGGTCAACATATGTCGTTCAACAATATGCTACATTCTCGACTTTCCCATTTTGAAGGAAATAATTATAGAGTTGACTGAATAAAGACCTCCAAGCCATATGTAAAAAAGTCTTATGATAGAAGGCAAAAGATGCTGTCTCTGGCGTAGAGGATGAGACCAACACACATAGGTTGTATGATCCGCAACATGAAAAAATTCATGTGAGTAGAGATGTATTCAAAGAAGAGAAGAAGTGGGATTGGTGTAGCGTTGACAATAACAAGCAAACTGTTAAATTGTTACAGAGTTCATTACCTTAGAAGAAGAGGGACGTGCAAGAGACCTAGAAAGTGTACCGTCAATGCCCAACAAATCCACACATGTCACACCGGTGACACTGAAAGGCGTGATGAATTCTCTGGAATAAGAGAGCTCAGACGAGAGCATAGAAGGATCCACAACAGATGGTGGACCAAAAAAGTTTTGTTCTCTTGCTGAAATTTATGCAGATACACTTGAAGAAGAATTTAATCCTGACAAGTTAGTGTGTGCTCGCAGCTGAGGAGGCAACAATTTACTGTGAGGCAGCAACTGAGATGATGTGGCAGGAGGCCATGTGAAAAAAACTTGAAGCCATTGAGAAGAACAAGACATGGACAATGATTAACTTACCACCTAGACACAAGTCCATCAGTTTGAAGTGAGTGTTTAAGTTTAAGAAAAATAGTGAAACAAATGTCATAAAGCATAAAGCAAGATTCGTGGCGAAGGGATACGTGCAACGACAAGGCGTTGATTTTGAGGATGGTTTCGCATCTATGGCTAGATTGTGCAATGACAAGGAGTTTATTTTAAGGAATTGGTGGTTGATAGTATATTTTATAATAGCTATAATCATTGTAAGGTTGATTATTGATCTCACAGCTCAACACAGGTGGTGGGTCCATCACTTGAACACCAGATCAATGTTCCTAAATCCTTTAAGAATAAGTGTATGTTGCCCAACTTGAAGGGTTCGTCATCAAAACTAAAGTGCACAAAATGTACAAGTTGTCATAGACCCTCTATAATTTATGGCAAGCGCCAAGGATATGTGCTCGAGTCTCGTGTCACATTTGAGAGAAATGTTTTGGAAAGCATGACCAAAACATCATGACCAAAAAAGAAGCAATGTCTTCTACAAGCATGACCAAAACATCAGACATTATAGTAAACATGACAACAACATACTATTTCTTTTCTCATTTTTTCTTCTTTTATATTTACTATATAAAGTTCATCCGTCGTACATATGAATGCATTTGTCAGGAGTCAAACCCGGGTCTATTGCTTGGATGGCAATTATCCTAACTGTTGGACTACAAACGCTTGTTGAAGTACACCTCATACCTTAGATTCCATTGGTCTTCTAATGAAGAGTCTGTTATTATAAACTAAGCAAGTCCAAGATGGTGAAGCCCGGTTATTAACATTTAAGAAAACTACATAACTATACCTCAAAGAAAGTCCTCAAAATTGTAAGCTTATTGAGTTGGCTTCAAAAGCTAGCTTCAACCACCATAGCTTTCAATTCCTATGACTCCATTTGTCAGGAGTTAAACTAAGTCTATTGCTTGGAAGACAATTATTCTAACACAACAACCATCTTCTTGTTACTATTTTTATAATTAAAAATAACAGGCAAAATATAGAAGTCACGACAACGAACATTTTTTTATATTTTTAAATAAGCTATAGAATGGGGGCGGGAGTTTTGAATATTATAAAAAAGTTAGAAAATTGTCCTCATTGTAGGACTTAGAAAATGGAAGGTTGATTGAGGAACGAATGAAATCAGGTAAGGTATATATGCTAAGGTATTAAGATACCTCCCATCATTTTACGACTCAAACAAATGTTCAAAATATACGAAATGGGTGAAAGTTTACGTTTGTATTCCCACATTCGCACATTTTCACATTCAATGTTTTAATTATAGCCGTTATGAACATTTTATTACACTTGATCTCACCTGTCAAAAACATATGGAGAGAAAAATGTCAAATATTAAAAATGAAGATCTAACTGTGTGAAACATATATTCAAAGGAAACATCACCGAAATCTATTTTCTAACAGGAAATGGTTATACAACATCCAGACCTCTCGAGATTGTCTATATAAATTTATATGGACCCATATGAACTACTATGCTTGAAGTTATCATTATTTTTTGATATGTACGGATAGACTCTAATTAGAAGATATGTTGGACAATCCCAAGCTACCCTGCGTTTTGATTATTCTAGCGCCAAAGCACACTAATCAATTTAATTTTTGAACCCACCAAAACTTTAAGCATCTAGTTTTAATAAATTTTGTTCGTATTCCTAATTTAGTTTATCGTATAGTTTGGATGTAGTCTCAGTTGTGATATAAACAACTAAAAGTATATATTAAAAATTAGATATCATTATTGTAATATAAACAACTAAAAGTATATATATAAACATGTAGCTTTTAATGTTTTTTTCCGATGAGGTTCTCAAGCTAATGATATCACCCATTCATTCTTAGTCTAATCGAGTTTTCAAATAGTTCAGAGTTCCAACTATGTTTTTACTCATTTTTTGAATGAAACATCAAACCTTAAAATATTGTCTTATAAGAATAAAAATGATTAGTTCTGAGGTTTACGTTTATTAAGGTTTAAATTTGTTGGATACACTCGATTGCATGCAATCGAATTAGTTTATAAAATTAAAAAGGAGAACTAATTGATCTCTCTATGGAGCAACTCATCAAGAAACATTAGTTATGGGTGCATCTTTTCGATGGCAACCCTAATATTGTGTTTAAACATGCTATGCAAACGCTAATACTTAGAGCAAAAGATTACCTTCGAAGGATAATTAAAATATACGAGTTACATATTTATTTCATTTAAATTTGTTTTTATCATTGATTTAAACGAATCAATGTTAATGTAGGCCGTTCAAATACAAACTTACAAATAAATTATACTCACATATGTACCCATCTTTTCCATTAGTCACGACCCCTCCATTCAAGCCCGACGTACTCTTAAGATTCTTCGTTCTTGTCATGCCCAAAACTCATTCTAACTGGCGACGCTTAATTGGTCATCTTCTTCGTAATATGACTTTTCGTCATTTAAAGTTTGGTTTGCATTTTCTCTAGTTGTTTTTTTTTTGGTGGGTGTCGTTGATTTTTGGAATTGGGTTTTCGTGGTTGTTGCAACGAGTGTATAGCGATTCTAAATTTTCTACTTATTATATGGTCCCTATCGTATATATATATATTCATGAACATTTAATGCAGAATTATCTCATTTAAACTTTCAAAAATATAACTTTCATCTTAAAATACAAACATGGACTTATATGTTTGAAAACATGTTTAAAACGACACCAAAAAGAACTAAATAAAATAAATGAACGATTAAATTAAAAATATCCTATTCTAACCTAAGTCTAAGAAAAATAAACGTGACTACCCTATACATGTGTCATGGTCTCGAGTTGCAATGTGGTCGTCAGTCATACAAGAATGAATGTCTTGCCTTAACCCGAAATAGAAATAGCATGTGGGTTATACCCAATAAGTGACCCAACTATTGAGGTTAAATGCAAACCCATACAATTTTCATGAATGGGACCGGTCATAACCATTTGTTTTCTACCATGACTATCATAACGGACAACTTGGATGTGTAACTAATTTCCTACACACGGCTCATACGTGCGAGTATAAACCCACCAGTTGGTTCGCATACCTCGTGGGCCCCATTTTCTTGTCGGGCGAACATTCTTTGATAGCTCATGATGTCAAACCCACCAGTCGAGCATTCTTTGATGCCGTCACGGCAGTATTATGTCAAACATAATGATCATTCTCCTGCCTAGTAGTGTACTGTCCATACTATTGTGAAAGAATAGGGGTATCCCCCAATGCATGAGCCATAATAATGCATGAGGTCCCTACATTTTTTTTCGTTTTAATTATCTTTAATACAACCCCGCTAGCATTTCGTACATATTATATCGTTTTTCATATCATTTCTCATATCGTTTATCATATCTTTCATGCATACGCTAGGATTGTATTTCATGTTAATTTGCCGTTTTTGCATGTCAATCATATCATATCTTCAGATTACATACATATGTCATATCACAACGTTCCATCTTCCAAACATAACTATTTTCATCATGTACATATCATACCATAACATATTGTATCACAATATATCACATCATAAACATGTCAATTTAACATGTATCTCGTATCATAACATATATCATATCATTTTCATATCATATCACAACTTATACATGTCCGTTATTCACATGTCGTATCATAATCATATCTTATCGCAAACACTTCATAGTCATATCGTTTCCATATGTATATCCTAAAGCTTATCGTTTAATGAACGTATCCTAGTCATACCATTATAAGAACGTATCCTAATCCTATCGTTCTATCAATCTATCATAATACTATCATGTTCTATCCATAATCTAATCATGTCCTCTTATCAATCGAGCACGACTATGTCGTTTTCTATACTTAACTTCATCATATCGTTATAATAATCATATCTTAACTATAGTGTTTTCTATACATGATCTTAACTTATCATTTTATCTATCTCTCATAACTATAGTATTTTCTATACATAACTTTATCGTATCGTTTTATCAAACTATCATAACCATAGCATTTCCTACACATAACCTCATCGTATTGTTTTATGAACATATCTTAATCCTATCGTTACATTACAT